TTAAGCGGGCCAGGTGAGAATTCAGACACTGACATTGTTAAAAAGGAGCAAATTTAACTTTTTAACTTGAATAATTTGTAATCTAATGTTATCATACACACATACATTCATTGGTCATGCTCTCCAGTAATTTTGTTGCACTTTGAAGGTCATGCCAGGTTTTTTTTTTCCAGTGGTAGCTTGTTTCTGCCAATCTGCTTAAAAAAAAACGAAACTAAAAAAATTTTGTGTGTGAATTTTGAGGTGTTTTCTTAGTGTTTTGAGTTAGTCTCTGACCAATGCTAACCTGTAGCGCAGCCCCAATTGGATTGCTGTCCACTTTAATCCAGTGTGAGTAGTTATTTGGAATTTGCAACCAAATGTATTTAAACACTGAAGAACATAACGTTTGTTTTGCTGCTGTTTTTACTGGAGGCTATTTTTTTTAAAAATCTTTTTGCAATTAAAAAAACCCCCACATATAGAAATCCCATTGTAGTACCTCAACCACATGATCATCATGTGAACTATTATTTGACTAATTTTGTTAGAGGGTGTGTGAGGTTCTGTAAAAGATGTGCATAGTGGTGCTTGTAGAAGATGGTGTTATTGCTTTCAGTCAGGTTAATTCTGTTTCTCCAGTTGATGGCACTGTGCTCCCCCTTTGTTAGCAATACTATTAATAGGATTTCATTGGTGCAAATGCCATTATTCATTGCCTCATTTATCCCTGATCAAAAATATCTTTGTAGGTGCATATAATTACAATTAATTGGACAGTTTAATGCTTTTTAAAATTAATTATTGTTATCAATATCCATTATATGGTCTGTTTTCCAATTAACTTGTAAATATTTTTGCCCAACTTTACTTGATTACCTATCCTGCTCTGATCATCATGCAGAATTCTGTTTATTGGCTCCATCTAGGGGTGGGCAATATAAACGATATACGATAGAAACGATATAAATTTGGCCAACGATAGAGATTTTGACTATACCGCTCTACCGCGATAGTGCATGTTGATGATGTCAACATGCGCCTCTTTTGGTCAAAAGCATTGCAGCGGCTACAACCATTATCATCTGCAAATTATGCCGGGCGACAGTAATCGCAAAGAGATGAAGCACTTTTGAAATATGGGGAAAGCCAAAAACTGAGCTTCCACCACTTCCATACCATTGATTCATTAATGTTGAATTCTCTGGCAGCTGTTTTATTCCCATGTTGTTGCAGTATATTAATAACTAACCTCGTATTGTGGATGAATTATCTGAGTTGTTCTCCTGACTGAAGTTTGGCCCGTGTATAGCATCCTGCCTTGCGATTGCATGTGTCCCTAACCACCAGAATCCCTCACGTTAACTTTCATCGAGTGGAAAAAAGTTGGTGTTCATCCTCCAGTTTCACTGCGCTAATGTTATGCTAACATAGCTGTGTCGCTAGCGATCACGTAGCACAACATTATATAACATTATATTATAACATTATAACATTATATTCAAAAATCTCTCAGTCAGAACATGTTTAGGTGGAAACTAGTGAGCTAACTTCCTGCTAACTTCTAGCTCCATTAAATTTAAATAAATTCTGTTTTCATTGATGCCTGGATGTTAAACTTAATTGTTGCACCTGGTAAAGCAGCAACGCTGATCATTTTATTGAAGATGAATGAATTTTGACAGTTTTTAACTCTCAGTGTTCGTTTGACTTTGGGATCTGAAGCGGACGGAGATTTGGACCCAGATAATCTGCAAGGCTCCTGACTACAGCAGACGTAATGCTCTGACAGTCCATCAAGCAGAGCGGCTTCGTAGCTTACCAAAGTTGCACTAAAGCATTTTTTGACAGATTTCTGCACGCTGTGTATTACATAAAATCGGTTCGAGGTCAGTAAACACAACCAGAATTCATACATAAGGCGCACTCTCGATTTTTGAGAAAATTAAAGGATTTTTAGGGTGGAAAATACGTTATACAGAAGAAAAAAAAGAATATATCGCAGTATATATCGTTAACGCATATGCTTCAAATTATACTGCGATATGGATTTTAGGTCATATCGCCCAGCCCTATTCCCTACCTCCTGATTTAAGAAATATCTCTTCCTTCTCTCTCTTTAAGTCCCAACTCAAAACTCACTTGCTCAAAATAGCTTAACCCACATAACCTCTCCACTCTGCTATTTTAAATTTGTTTATGTCTTGTGCTTTTATGATTGTGTAAACTACTTGCTTTTATGTTGCTTTTTATTCTACTGTGTACAGTGACCTTGAGTGTTTTAAAAGGCGCTTTCAAATAAAATGTAGTAATATTATTATTATTATTATCATTATTACTACTTGGGCCAGCACACTGGAAAGCTTTCAGAATACTTTTTTGGTTAATAAGGTGTTTTTAGGTGTTATGCTCAGTGCAAGACTTAAATTTATGTTGAAGCTCTTTACTTGACACTGTAGGCTGATGTGCACCTTAACAAAAAAGTAACTACAGTGGCATAGACATGAACCACTGTGATAGGGCTGTTTGGTAGCAGTATCCGGTGTAAACACATTAGCAGGATAATACCTCAGTAATTGTATCTAGCTTGTTCATTATGCTATTCCAGTAGCATCAGTGCAAAGACATGCTGTTTTTCTTTTTTTCATAAGTCTAGCAATATGTTTATAGATTCAGTTGGCTCCGATATCGTTTCTCCTTTCACAGTTTCTGTAAAAGTAACTGTTTAGTTCCAGATTCATCAAATCCATGACCAATATTAAGAGTTTTGCTCACGATGGCAGAGCAATGGCAGAAATTCAACACAGCCCTATAAATTAAGCTTACATCATTGAGGAAATCCCTGTATATGTTCTTTTAATGTATGAACATGATATTGTCTATCTGCAGGACAATTTGCTGAGAATGAAACCAACGAAGTGAATTTCAGAGAGATTCCATCTCACGTCCTCTCCAAGGTCTGCATGTATTTCACCTACAAGGTCCGTTACACCAACAGCTCCACAGAAATACCCGAATTCCCCATCGCGCCGGAGATCGCACTGGAACTACTCATGGCTGCAAACTTTTTGGATTGCTAAAGTTGCAAAGATAATGGAAAAAAAGCTTAAAACATTTTTAGTTGTTTTTTTTTTCTTCTTTTTTTGAGTATTTAACTTGTTTTGCTATTCACTTCATACGAAAAATAATCCTTTTTCTGTGGTTTGCTGTTGTTTCATTAGTATTAAAAGATGACATTTTAACATGTTAAATGGATATAGCAGAATGTGACAAATGTGCCCCCCCCCGAAGTCTCTCCTCACCACACCATCTTAATAAAGACGTATTTGGTGAGCACTTTGTTTCCAGTCTTTGGTACCTTGTGCCTCATGAAATGAAGTACCATCTCCACAATGAATATGCTTCCTATTTTTATTCTTTTTTGAAGTTTAAAAAAAAGATATTTGAGATAAAGGCAACAGTGGGGATGTTGTATACACTAAAACAGATAATTCAGTGTTTTGTTTTGCTTTTTCACATCAGTAGTTGGAGATCTACTAAAAGGGTTTACTCTTTATACGGATCAGATAAGGATGTTTGGAAAATGAATGAACCTCAGATGTCTGTAATTTAATTAGCATGGCAATGCTGAAATAAAAATGTGTATTGAATCTGAAAATACTGCTTCTTTTTTTTTGCTTTTTTTTTTACACTATCGTAGGAGAACTGCAGTAACTGCTGTGGTTTAAACACTCTTAACATATCAAATAACTGAAAGGACTCACTGTGTGCTCGTACTGCTCCAGCATGACACTGATTCATCAAGAAGTGAATTTATGACTAGGATAAAACAATTGGTACAGACTCCTTAAAGTCCCATAAAGTGGTATGACATAAGGGCTTTGTGTTGCATGTTATAGAAGAAATTTCCGTGTTCATAAAACAGTCAGTGATCACTTAAACTACATAAAAATGTAAAGCTGATAGATGTGATCTTATTATTCTGAATAAACATTGCCTTGCACATTCAAGTTTCAGAAATTTACGTTGCGTGTGTCCATACATTTGACTGGTGCCTATATGGAGTGCTTACCAGCCATGCCATGTGATACACCCAACTATTAATTCCCATGGTGAGGCGAGAGCTTATATCACATCTGATGCAACTCTGGCTACCAAGAGACATTTTCTCTGTAGGAAACATTAGGAGGTTAGATCAAATTGCAGTTCAAGTGGATGAAATGTTCAAAAATTTTGCTTACACAGATAAATGAATATGCTTCCTGTGCTTAAGCCACTGACACCTAAAAAAAAATGACAGTAAGATAACATAACGAGCTAAAGCAGCTCAAATAATGATAATCATCATCAGGAAAACGAAAAATGCAATTAAATACTCTGATGATCACAGGAAGTCTGTTCTTTGAAGCATTTTGTCATGATGAGTCATTACTCTCACACTTAGAGGTTGTAGAAACCAATGTTATTCTCATTTTTAGGCACGGTTACTCCACCCGAGCGTCTGATCATGTTATACCTCAAAGGTAGGAAGTTTCTGTCTTTTAATAACTAAAATACATCCTTTAGCAAAGGTCACTGGAGGTGCCCGAAGTCCCCCATATTTAAAGAATATTTAAAAATATTATGTTGTCTTTATCGCTGGTGAAATGCTGTGATAAATCTGCTAAATGTTACGGACATCTTGGCGTTGACGGTGGCGCGCACACACACACGTTCGTGTGGATTTGTTTTCTGCTGTCAAAACAACTTAAATCACGTGACCGCCTGACGTACGTTTCTACACTCTGCGCTGAGGCAGGAGGAGGGGGGGTTTCCATCATGGCGTCGATGCAGGTAAGAACACAATTGAAAGCGATCGCTTATTTTGTGATTTTTACCGGACCTCCCGACTATTTTTTTCCTGGCACTTTATCGACCACTTCATTTACCTACGCGTATTTGCCCAAAGTGGTGGTGACGTTACTGTAAAATCGATGACATTTATCCTCAACTGTTCAGGTTTAGCGGCTGCTCTTTGCTAGCAATACAACTAGCCCATCATCATCATCCACAGCAAGTCAAGGCTAGTAGGAGCTAGCTTCCTGGAACTGTATGTCGATGACTTGGCCCGTGTGTAGGTTCTTCTCAGAAAGGCGTGATAATTCAAGGATATGAGGTGGAAAAATTTCCGATGTTTCCCGTAAATGTTGGCGGTTAAGTGGCCGGGCTCTCACCACAGTGAGCTAAGCAGACGGTGCGCAGATCGAACAGTTGCAGTTTCCTCCTGAACAGCTGAACAGGTGCATCACTTTTACAGAAACTGCGTTGTTCAGTTGACTGGCTGTTAACGTCTAAATAAATCAAACCCGTAAAGCAAATTTCATACATTTTTTAAACACTTACCTCTTTGAAATCGTTTTGTTTGGGTCACGTTTAACTACTAATAAACATAATAAACGGTAACCCCTCATTGGAATATCAGTGTTTTTCCGGGTATGGGCCTCTTAATAAAATTGATGAACACATGTGCTAAATTTCTCAGCCACTACTCTGTTTGATTTTACTTGACTTGATCCAGTATTTCAACTTTTTATTTATTTACTTTTGGGGGGTATAAACCCAATCATGTTTTCTCCCACAGAAAAGGCTACAAAAGGAATTATTAGCCTTGCAAAACGATCCACCCCCAGGAATGACGCTCAATGAAAAAAGTGTACAGAACACCATTACACAGTAAGTCCTTCTTTCTCTCTCTCTCTCTCTCTTTTTTTAATTTCTTGTGACTCATTTGTTTCAGAGTGGCAGCACTTCTGGGTTTTTATCACCGATATGCCTATCGTGTTTGCTCAAATACCATGTGGCTTTGTGAAATGCCAGGTTTCATTCCTTTAAACGGGTAGCGTGGCAAGCATGCCGCATGCCATAAAGGTAGCTGCGGCTGGAGGTAAGACACCATGGCCTCAGCAGTGTGTAGTGGTGAGGAATTGGGGTCATTCCAGCAACTGGCAGCCACAGGCCCTTCGTAGAGTGTCTCTAATGCACAGTGTCACTATTCATCCTTATAAAATATTTAATGGCTGGCATGCAGGAGTTGGGCTAGAAACAGAGGTTGCTTGGCTGACCTTTCTGTCTGGTTGTCGTGATGTATCCCCTTAAACCCCATGACTACTGTTGCCAGGAAATATGACTTGAATTGTAGTCTTTAAATGGATTTGAGACTAGTTTCTAAGCTGAAGCATGGACTTGTTAAGTTACTAACTTTTCGAGTTGTGTGGCATGGTTTCTAGCCTCCAATGCCGTCTGAAAGAGAGGGTGCACATTGGAGTGTTTGTCACTGGTCAGTTATGGTGGCATCTTCCTCATTAGATAACAGTCACCTGGTCTAACAAATGCCTTGCATGACTGCCAAGTCTCCTAACCAGTCCTGCTGGCTTGTGATCCTTGTATATAATTTCTCTGACAAGGCATGTGTAGGTGTGTCTTTTTTTTTTTTTTTTTTTTTTTTTAACGCTCTGCTCTGATGTCACAAGGTGTCTTTATGCTACTTTCTGTTGTCACGATTGACTGTGGTCATGAAATGTCTTTATTATCCTGACTGGAGTATGACATACTCTTGTGCTTGGCATAGAAGCACACAAGCTGGTATGTTACCGCAATAAAGGGTCGGTGTGTTTTCAGCTTTGCACCTTTTGTTTATATAGTACACTTTGTACTGTAACGAGCAACACTGAGAGTCAATGGTTTTGTTTTGTTTTTTAAGTGTATTGTGTGCTGGTGCTATATTGGTTAGCTTGATGGTGTAATGAGTCACTTAATGTAAACAGGGAAACTGCTGCTTAAAGGCACTGTTGGGCCTCTCAGGTGTACTCATTTGTCCTTGTCCCTACACTTTCACTAAATGTCTCAGTGTTATTTTTGTTGACTGGATCATATAATCACCAGGCTATAGGGAATTTGAGCACATTGAGCGTGATGTCCTTGAAGTCCCTGACTGTTTTCGGCATGAGTTGGTAGCACAATCAGGCCTCGCTCTGAACTTCTTGAAGGAAAAGTGGAGCTTCGTTTAGACACTGTGACTGACCCTTTCCAAGGGCAACGTTTTAAGGAGAACAGACTTTATATGTAGGTTTAAATGATCATGTGTGCCAGTCTAGATTTGAATGAGGCATGAGGCTATAAACCTGGATAACAGCCACAAGACTCTCTGGTGTCCTGTCTGCACCGCTTGCATGGGAAAAAAATAGGGCAGAGATTGTGATGCTTTTTTCTTCTAAGGATTCTACTATGAGCCCCACAACTGTTCTGCACTCAATTTGTTTTTGCCACCAGTGAAGCTACATTCAGCAGTCTTGAGGTGTGTGTGTGTGTGTGTGTGTGTGTGTGTGTGTGTGTGTAAAGAGTGTGCGGTGCAGGTAGGCTGTCTTTCATCCCAGAGGCACAAGGCTCTGTATTTGCAATCATCTGAGCAGGATTGAATTGCTAGCAGCTCAGTCAGCAGAGTTCTGTAGCCTGGCCACCAAAGCGAAAATAGATTTTGTCCAGTAGATCAATAGAATATCACATTATTACTAAAGCACTGTCATAACCCAGATGAATATTGAATGTCACTGAAATGAGTCAGACTGAAAGCTTTTGATTACACACACTTACTGGAGAACCGGCAGCTCACATTGTGTATGATTTATTTATTTATTTTTAATGATAATTACATGTGGTTCTGTACTTGTCTCTAGCTAATCTGCTGCCAAATTATAAAACGGCACATTATTAACAGAAATAATGTCGACGCTGTCATTGTTTCCCACCTACTCCAGAATTGTAAGATTGAACACAGAGCACATTATCCTTCATAAACCAAATTTTGCTTTTATAGAAATGTCATTTTCTCCCAAAGCACTGAAGGTTTATGTTCACTGTCAAGTACACTACGTATGAGGAAAAAGGAAAAAGCCTGAGTAGTTTATCCTGTCAAAAATTTGCAAGATCTTTACTCCAATCCCCCAAAACCACAAATCAACAGATTCTTGCAATTTGGATTTACACACGTGGTGTGTGAGGGTCGCAAAAGTAATTGGTGCACCTCATTCAAACTGTGCTGTTTTTATCTGTATAGGCCCAGGGTCCCTTAAAGGCACAGGTTCTTCTGCTAATATGGTGAATCGAGGGTAAATTTGCTCATTTCCTCCATGCAAATTGTGGGCAACCTCGCAGGGCTTTGTGGTTCCTTGTGGTTTCCTCTTTCCTCTGATTTGTGTAAATCTCTAAAAATGTGTTTTGTTTTTTCATGCAAGTTAATGAAATTTTAACTTTTATGTTATTGTAAGTTGTAATTTAAGAGAGTTAATGTTGAAATTTAATGGATCTCCCTCCACCAACTCCATAAATTTAAAAGAAAATGGCCTTTTTTCATATTTACATCACTCTGATTTGTAGTCAGAGACTACTAGACCCTGATTATCTCAAGGTGATCTGTGTTATTTTATGTAATTTTTTTTTGTTTGACATACTTTAATATTGTGCTTTTATTTTTTAATTTTTTAGGTGGATTGTAGATATGGAGGGAGCACCTGGCACACTGTATGAAGGAGAGAAATTTCAGCTGCTTTTCAAATTTAGTAGTCGATATCCTTTTGATTCACCTCAGGTAAGCTCCGCAGTCATTATTGTTTGTGCGTTGGTGTGTGGGTAAATGTTAAACATTTTAAAGCACTTTGTCTGAAGCTATCTAGAAGTTCACTTTATTAACCATCTTGTCTTATGGATCTGTTTTGTCTGCACTGTGGGTGCAGGAGATGCAGATGAACAAAGGATACCGTTTGCTACTCTGATCTAATGTCCCACATCCATTCCTAGCTTGATATCAAAGATTGATATTCCTGAGTTCATGGTCCACAGTGGTGTTCCGATTGAAATAAACTGAAGAGCTGTAGAAACAGTCTTTTATATTCATCGGCTAGATACCTGCTGTAATCTCATGAAACATCTTGGCTCTATGGTCATTAGTGCAATGAATCTTGGCTTGGAATCACTGAGAGACAGCAGTGCAGAAGTCTCACTGAAGCCATGTTTGATGGGATTAGTTTGACTCAACAGTCTTGTTTCACTGATTAGGAGCCTGCCCGTCTAAAAATAGGTAGAGAAAATTAGATAAATTGAGCTACTTAGCTGTTACCCTCTCAAATAGGAAGGACACACTATCAGATTTATCCACTGTTGAAGCCCTCTCCTGGGGCCTCGGAGGAACTTCTCTTTCACCTTATATCCTATTATTGTCGTGGAAAAGAAAACAAAGTCTGATCAAAATCACTTGACAATTTTTGCATAACAGCTTCAGTTTCTGTTGAGCCTTTTCACAGCTACATGCGCACAGGAGAAACTCGAGATTTCCTACCAGAACTTTAACCCTGTGCAGCATCTTCTAAAACAAAGATGTCAAATTTTAAACAGTGTTGTGTAATCTTACAGTTTAGATTGTTACAATTGTATAAGGGCTTTTTATTTTTTCATTTACTCATTTTTTGACATGTTTTAGCCATCCAAGCTCTGCACATCACTCCACCAGTCATTTGAACATTCTGTGTCATTCACATGGGGAAAATAGAAGCTTTGCAATTAAAACCAATCATCATTAGATTGAAATGTGGAATCAAAGAGTATTCTCTAGAATTTTTTGTTTTATTTTTAATGCTTACATAATTTTTAAGATTAGAATCAGTCTCCAATAATAACTTCAGCTTTAAATAAGACAGAACTGGAAAACTTTGGGCTCGACCTAAAATGTCACATCTGTTTTTTGGCCTTCAGACTTTGCTTTCGTCAAAGAACCGTTGCAGACATCGTTGTTTCAAATTTGTTGAGGTAATCTAATGGGTATGGTTGAGATCTGGTGACTGCAGTAACGTCTCCATTAAAGACAGACCCCGAGCTGACCAGTTCTATAAAGAGTTCTTGTGTACTTCGGAGCTGTTCTTTAGATCACTGTCCTGCGTGCGGTCCAGTCATGCCGCTTCCAGCAGATTACAGCATGGCATTTCCAAATAGAGGGTCACCCTTCTTTATTCGACATCTCGTTTTTAATCTTATATAAATCTTTTCCTTTACCCACTACAAAACGAACCATCTCAATTTTTGTTGGAAACACTTTAAAGGTGGAATTGTTTGATCTTACCACCATTTTCCAGCCTTTCTCAGTCAAATGCATGCAGCGTTTAGCAGTCTTGGCTTTCTTGTATTGGTTAGTCTCAGATTTGGCCTTTTCCATTGAAGCTCTGCCTAGTGTCATTAAAATCACCTCTTCACTGTCACATTGAGATGGGTATTGTGTTCACTGGAGCTGCATACCTTTTTTTTTTTTTCTGTTCTGGTTAGAGACACTTTGCTGACAGAATGGTACACACACTAGTATGAAATTTCCTCTGTGTGTTTTTTCCTCATTGAACTTGAACCCACAAAGGCTGATGTTCCAGACACTGAACTGTCAAAAGTTGCTGCTTCTTCACAGAAATGTTCAGTTGTGGTAAAAATGATTGAGAGTTTAATAAAAAGCTTTCAATTTTTATTTTTTGTTTTGTTTTTTGGGGTGATTCCGATTTCTGAGCAGTTGTGCACATGCAAATTAGAGGCCCACCTTATGAAACAAAACAGAGGCTACTTCTGTTTTTCTTTTTCTAAAGTTAGAAATATTGAAACTTGTGGTGAGCACAGATTCAGCACTAGAACAAGGCACAGCATGGACCCGAGACTAGATATCTTAGTGAAATAGAAGATTTAGGTTACCTAAAGACGCTGTTGGCTTGGTGTGATTTGGAGGTTTGAGTAAATATTTTAAGAGATTTTTTATTTTTTTTGTCTTGATCTTTAGACTATAAAGCTAGCTGTGCTTTCTAGTCATATCAGTCACCTCCCTCCCCCTCATGATGTGGAGCCTGCACTCTCCCGTGAGGCCCGGTCTGGTGCCAGACTGACTCAACCCTTCATTACCCTTTTTACCCGCTCCCCCTTCTCTCTGCTTTAGCACTTCTGACTCTAGCTTTTTGCTTCTCACACTTCCCATATCTTCCTGCTTGGCCCTCACTCTTGTGCCTTTTTCAAAGTCAAATGTAACCCAGTGCTTTTTATAGAACGTGTCTACTTTTTTATAAAACATGCTGTATCTCCTCTCTAGCTCTCCCTACGCTGTTCGCTTTTCCTCTCTCTCTCACAGTGTCCCGGCCCCTCTGTCCTAATCCGAGAGCCTCATATCCCTGTAGAGCAGTGGTGTCAATCATAAGGCCCGGGGGCCAGAATCAGCCCGACAAAGCCTTCAGTCCGACCAACTGGACAGTTTAGTAAGATGTGAAAGAAGGCATAAGTTTTCCTACAGCTTTTTAGTCTTACAGTTTTTCCTACTGATAAGACTTCCCCTGTGCTCTATTATCCAAGTAAGGAAATCCCAGAAAGCTGATGCTGTTTATCTGGACATTGTGTCTTCAGTGGGGGAAACATCTCATTACTTTTTAAGAAGTCACTTGGATAAGTGAAAAAACGTTTCTCCCACTGAAAACTGGACATCCAGATGAACAGAATCAGCTTTGTGGACGTAAACGACAAGGTTTTGGTTTTTCTTCCATTAAAATATCTGAGATTAAATCCATAATTAAGCATCTTTACATCGACAGAAGTCACATCAGTGTATTTATATAGCACATTTTAAACAACGTCTGTTGACCAAAGTGCTGTACAAGGTATACAAAATATCCACTATGTAAAACGGTCACTAAATCAACAATAAAGAAAGGGAGAGCTTCACTGGTCCAGCTCGCTACATGTGGCCCACAAAGTAAAATGAGTTTGCTATCCCTGCAGTAGTGGGTTAACCCTGGAGCAAGTTTAATTATTTTGCTGTCATTAATTGATGGGAATGAATGTTTTAGCTTTCTCCAAAGTTCATCCCCGAGCTGGCGCTTTGACCACACACGTAACCCCCAACCACCCCAAAGTTGTTTTTTATGCGTCTTCTTTCTTTAGGATCTTAAAGCTCGCCAGCCTCGTGGGATTTTTATTTGTACATATTCAGTTGTGTTGATGTGGTCTGCTTTGCTTTCATTGTGCAGGTAATGTTCACAGGAGAGAATATACCTGTCCACCCGCATGTGTATAGCAACGGTCACATCTGTCTATCTATCCTAACGGAAGACTGGTCGCCAGCGCTCTCGGTGCAATCAGTTTGTCTTAGCATTATCAGCATGTTGTCAAGCTGCAAAGAAAAGGTAAGTGTGCGACACCCGGTGTGGGCGGTAGCGGTTTGTGGGCACGTGTTAAATGTTAAATCTAATTGCTGCTTTTTGTTTTCTGCAGAGACGACCGCCCGATAACTCATTTTATGTAAGAACATGTAACAAAAACCCAAAGAAAACAAAATGGTGGTATCACGGTGAGTTTAAAAAAAGAAAAAGGTCTTATTTGTTTTCAGCACTTCCTGAACTTGAAACTTTTTTTTTTGTCCGTTTCCTGTTGTAATTCTAATCTTCATGCTGTCTTGTTTGCCTTCACAGATGATACATGCTAATGTACAAACTTTGTATTAATGGTAGAAGAGAGAAGTCCTACTGACCTACGTAAAGCACTTTTTAATCATTCAGTCTTTGAACTCTGACCTTTGACTGGAACAATGGACACCATGCGCTGGAGGCTCTTGGCTGCATGTTTTAGTCTGTTGTAAAATAGAAAATAACGGAACGTTTAGCTGCACCCAAGATGGAACTTCTTCCTTTTTTGTGTGTGTTTTTGTTTTTTTTCCGTTTTTTGGGGGGAGGGCAAAAAGGTCACAATGCAGCGAGCAAGTAAGGCAGACTTGTACTGATACTTATAATTCCTCTTTTAAGATTATTATTGTTACTTTTTTTGTTTGTGTGTGGCTGCATTTTAAGGTCCTTGTGTTGTGCAATAATAACCGGTGGATGCATGCTGGGGCCTACAAAGAGAGATCTAAATCTAACAGTCTTCTGGAAGGGATTTGACCATCAAAACCCCAAGAAAATGCTTCATCTGTTTTTATTATTATTAGTAGTAGTACTACATGCACTGTGATGGTATCTAGTTTAAAAAGGCACTATTACGTTATTCCCAACTTGCAGGTGTACTGTAGGCAGTCCTCGATGCTTATCAGGTTCAAGGGTTTTAGTTTTTTAACCACTGTATCGACAGCACACGCGCTCTTCTTCATCTTCCAACTCTTAAGACCTGGTTGCAGTTCTTCCTGCCATCGGACTGAAATTCGGTACACACGGGAATAGCACAGGCGTGACGGTAGATCCAGGAGTCATCCAGTGACCTCGGCGTTTGTCTCCTCATAAAGTTGGGCTGAACTTTTCTGGTCCAGCCTTTTAAGACGTGCATCAGCCTCTCTTCCATTCAAAGAATGTCATCGCATGATCCATTTGTATTTGTATGATATATATTTTTATTATTATTTCATGCTTTAATCTTCTGAAATGTTTGAAATTTTTTTTTTTTTTTCGCATTTTGTTTTCCCAACTAGTTGATACTTTGAAAAGGGGGTGCTTTTGACGGGTCAGTATTCTTTTAAATTTTTTTTTTTTTTGTTATTTAAATCTTCATTTTATCTCTAGAATGACAAAGTCTTTCTAGAATGTATGAAGACAATACTTTTTTTTCCTTCTCTCTCTCTCTCTTCCCCCTGGTCAGAGTTTTGGCTCAGGTACTTTTTCAATAAAGAGATCGCCTCTAAAAAGACACCTATCAGAGATTTTGAATTTAACTATATTTTCACCAAAAGAGACTGTTATGTTGTAAACTTGTAACATGTCTGAAACTATTCTGTACATACATGCGTCTTTAAATTGTTAGATGATGTGCAAGAACTTGGCAAAGGATGCATTAACTTTATAGCAGAATGATGATAGGAGTGCTTTATTTCATTGGAACTTTGCATCTTTTGCCAATTAGGTTGTGTACGGTCAGCAACAAACATGTAAAGCTGGTTTTGGAAAAAAGGAAAAAAAAAAAGAAGGTCGTTTTACAGTAGGGGTGCATGCAGTTTCAAACCCTACTTTTTCTTATTGGCATCTAACATTGTGGCAACTTTTAGTCGTTCCATAACTGAGGTCACGGTTTATAGGATGGATGCTAACAGTGCTCACCTCCAGAGGCTGTGCTCATTTCAAAGTGTAATCACTCCATTCCTAAAGACATGTTTATCGCCATCCAGTCAGAGATACTTGAATTTTTTCCATCTTGAGTTGTTTGTATCTACTACTTTTTTTTCTTTCTTTCTTTTTTTCCCCTTTTCCAGGGTCTAGCTGAGTTTCTTGAATGAACATGCGTGAATGTGATGATGCTCTATTCTGTAGAGGAGATTACCACAGCACACGGCTATCTGAAGATTTAAAAACAAAACTATATTGATAATTTAAGGACATCTATTTAACCAATTTTTTTTTTTATTAGTTTCATTGTATAAGGTCGTATCTGCTATCACTGCTTCGAGAATAAGACTGACTGAAACACTGATTGTGTAAATGTAGTCACAGCAGCATCAGTGCACAGAGACGCCTAAAGGATCAATAAAGGCTTGTTTTGTCTTTTTAAACATGCTTGTGGTTATGTTACAGGGTTTGGCTGTTCTTTTTTTGTTTTGTTTTTTCCCCCTTAGGTTACTTTTTTTTAATGTGGTTTGAACTCTTAGCTTGCAAGTTGTTGTGAGTGGTCAACACTAATAAGGGTGTGTTATTTATATTTGAAATTTTGTTCTGGGATGTGCAAGCTCCATGTAATAGGTGCCTGTTCATTTTCATAATCGATAATAAAAACAAAGATTCACTTTTATTCAACCTCAGTCTGAACAGTATGGGGTTTTTTTTCTTCTCCTTTTTAAATAGCTTGCAAAAGACCGAGTAGTTCTGCTCTGAAGGCAGAAGGATGATGACCAAATTGAGAAAGAAGATAAATGTGTGACAGTGACACATTACATAAACTGCATATTTCAGAAGCATGTAATTCCATCTGTCTGTAAAAAGTGATCGGCACGGATCTCAGGCGTGCCGGTGGAATTGCACTAGATTTGTGAAACGTGCAAAGATAAAGATGTAGTGTGGCAGGAAAACTGATGATCTGACGCTTTTGAAAGCAATGGAGCTTTCATTTGAAGCTTGTTTTTTGTTTTTTTGTTTTTTAACTGGTCCGTTATGGTGGGAGAAATTATTTCAGCCAAAAACAAAGGGGGAAAGGGTAATTTCAGATTGTAATTTTACTTGGCCAAACGCATGTATATCTATTGTACAATCTGTTATCAAGTTATTTCACTTATTTTGCTTAAATTATGTTTTTTATACTGCTCTATTTGTTGTTGGATATTTTTCTGTCTACAATAACACAGGGAGAAGTGGTTTAGTGACGCCCTCTATTGGAGACGCTTTAGCTGTCAAATCTGGGGATTAGCAGTTCGTGATATTTTCCCTTTATGGTTATCTATTCCTTGTTAAATATAAAGTGTATGTAGGTTATCCACCCACCCCTAGCCATCTTTTCTTTTTCTTTTTTTTAAATTTCTCATCTTAGTACAATACCACTGCCCCAGCGTGGACTTTTCCAAATAAAGCTTGATGCAGAATTCTGACTAGATTGTTTGTGAGACACTCATAGGGTTTGCTTTAATTAATTAATCAAATAGAGAAAATTCCCAATGGATGGTTGGGGAAATATTCCAAGTAAAACTATATTTTATAGCATTAGCACAAAACCTTAAGTTTCACTGAAACACGGACCTGTAAAATGGAAAACTTACGAATAAGACTAAAAATCCATTTGGTGATACAAATGTGCACAAAACAACTTTGGAAATATTAATTTTGTTTCTGAATCAAAAGTTACACTGTGGGATCCGAGGAAGCGCACCAGGACTGAACCATCCTTACCGCGGCGGGGGTGGCTTCATTCAAAATTCACCTCAAACTCCACTCATAGTACGTTAGCGATATGCGATATGCAGCCACAACAAGGTTAGCTAAACACAAGCTTTATGCGTGAAATATTACATGGATACGCCATGTTGAGTCCAGTGACACGTATTTTCATTTCTTTTTTTACCCAGACAAATAAGGTGGTCGGTTCCTCTTCCATCCAGTTCTCTTTAGTGTTTGCCAATGTTGGAGGTGTAACTGGGGTCTGGCCCTGGATAAAGGTAAAAAAATGTCCTGAAATATTTTTCCCATAGTTGTCGGATACTCTGTGGATTATTTGCCACGTTGTCGCCAACTCGTATATGATATTAGGGTTGACTGAAAATCCCCAGAATTTCGAGAAGGATGGGGCGGTTTGGAGATGCTAGCAAGAAGGGTGCTCGGCCGATCAGCCATGATGAGCTTTAACCGGCTAAAGTATCGCAACTGGGGGTGGCTAGATATGATTTATTCATCTGGGGAAACCATAAAGGCATATTCATGACAGCATGCATGCTTGCCTATTCTGTCTGCGTGTTTTTGGGAGCTGACATTGGGAAGAAACGGCGTATATCTTGTTGGCAACGTTAGCTTCCTGCTAAGCTGGACACAGTAATAAATGTTCAGGGGTTGCAGACAGCACTGAAGCTCTGCCAGTCAACCCCAACGTAACACAACCCCCATGTTCAACTTGCAGTGAAAGACAGCCGTGCAAACAGGCAGCTGTTTGCCGCTGTATTTGTGCGTGTTGCTGTGAGAGCATAAAAAGAAAAGCAAGAGGGACTATCACCACAAGTACCCCACGGGCAGGCATGATGCACCTACGAATTAAACAGGAATAACTTCATGACATGCAATGAATAAAAGTCATATTACAGTAAGAGATACATCAGTTGTGGTGCATTTAAACCTTATTAGCTATTTTCTGACCGTGCAAACTTGGCTGATGTTTACACCAGTTCAAACATGGTCCCTAAACAATACAGAGAAGTGACACCTGCAAAATCAGATATGCAATATTTAAAAACCTGAATGTGCCATATTCAAAGCTAGCATTTCATGCAGTGTCCAAGGGATGACACTGAATTTCTCCAAAACTCCAGGGGTTCAGCTCAGCTTTGACCTTTTGTTTTGACCTCTGTGGGGATGCTCAAAGTATTTCCTTCATTTCCGATCACTGTCTGCCACTTATTTGTGTGACTCAAAAGTGGGAGCCATTTTGGAGCAATTGTTTTTTATCTTAGAGACTTTTTTATCACCTTAATCATGATTTTGTTTTAGACAAAAACACACAGTAGCATATATGCTTATGTTACATAAATTACACAGTCACAGCCTGTGTACTGTGTCTAACTGCATTCTGCTAAATATTGCATGCATATTTTAAGAGATAAATAAATACTACAATTCATTCTGCTGTTTGATATTTGTTGACCCTTATTTGTTTGATAATGGGCTGTGTCCCTCAAAATGTGGTTTAATATAGATTGCATTGTTCAGGCTACAACCAGCGGATTCCTCCTTTTTGCCAGAGAGTTTTTTCAGCCGTAACATGAGCAAAGCTCCTTCAAATAAAGGTTCATTGTCTGGGTGTATTAGCTGCCAGTGGATCAGAATGTGAGATAGGCCTAGGGCTGTTCAGTTTGAAGTCTGTTCTCCAGGCTTAGCCCAGAGAAATCTGTCAAATGACATTTAGCTTTAAACTGTGCATGTGCATTTGTGCTCAGATTCACAGATGCTTAATGCAGTATTGTGTACTGCTAGTGAATGAATATTGATTTTCTTTTATTTTTAAACTACTCAGTAGTTATAATTACAGTGTAGTAAGTGTATTTCTAACAAAAGCTTTCAAATTTGTTCTGCTTTCAGGAATAGAGCATGGCTCAAGTGAAAGTACAGACCTCAGCGCCCCTGGCTGGTCCTGGCCTCTCCCCTGGAGTCCCTCCAACGGCCATGGCCAGTCAAGGATCCCTGGGTCTGCAGCCCTCCGTCAATGGCACAGGCCCGGCCCCCACACCCGCCTGCCCTGCTCCTGCAGTCGGATATGGGGACGCCCCTGTGTCTGCCACACCGCCAGGTAGAATTTCCCCCAAGTTTGTCTTTAGGGGAAATTAGTTATTATTTTGCATCATGTGTGGAGTTGCTACTTATCTATGAAAACTAAAAACTGTTACAGTAGGTTAACAATTTTGCAAATAAAATACCATCACCCACGGCAGTGGTTGATATTTAACTGCTTATCTGTAAAATTGTGTTATTAAATTTCTGCTTATTCAAAAAATAGAGTGTTGAAGGGCTAAAATATTTGATTCCTGGTTTCACTCTTGCAACAGGGGGCAATGTGATTTAAAAAAAACTACACATACGCACACAAACAAAAACACTGACTATTGGCTTTCCATGGCCAGTACATGCTCAGCGATCAATAGTTTCTGTGATTTCCAACAAACGATGGACTACATTTCATTAGTGTTTTCATTTTGGGGGATGATTCAGTGAGTTATTCTGTGAAAATTACATAACCTCAGTCATAATATATTATGACTCTATAATACTGATATAGATTTAAGACCTTAACAATGATTCATACAGACAACTGTGTGCATGATGAAGGTTATAGTTGTACCCAAGTCTACAATACAATGTGTGTGTTTGCATAGTTATTCTATAATAAAAAATTGACTTTAGGCAATTAGGTAACTGGCCTAAAGGGCTCTATCTCATGTTCCTTTTACTGCTCATTATTTCTCATGACCTAACCTAAATTCAGAAACATTTCGGTACCACTTCTTCTTTAATAATGATTTAGGAACTGAATTTCTGCCAACACGTCCTGTCATATGTTAGCTATAATAATAATAATAATAATAATGGATTGCATTTATATAACACTTTTCGAGACCCTCAAAGCGCTTTACAATTCCACTATTCATTCACTCTCGCATTCACACACTGGTGGAGGCAGCTACAGTTGTAGCCACAGCTGCCCTGGGGCAGACTGACAGAAGCGAGGCTGCCATATCATGCCATCGGAAGTATCTTGCCCAAGGACACAACGACTGAGACTGTCCGAGCCGGGGCTCAAACCGGCAACCTTCCGATTACGAGACGAACTGCCAACTCCTGAGCCACGATTGCTGCACTATAAGCCAGTAGCTCACGGACTGACCACAACACGAAGGAAAAAATACTTTACAATATTGTCCTATAAACAGATTCATTTATTGGTTATTTATTAAGTGCTTGTTTACGGATTTTTCCCCTTAATTACATATAAAAATAAAACAAGTTTGCATTTTATTTGCAAGTTAGAAGTGTTCCAGTGGCTGTATCCACTGCTAATATCTCATCCCTTGTCACTCAGTGGAAGTATCCAGTTCTTATATTAAAAAATGATACTTGTTCATGAATATAGGTGGAAGAAGATGGATAGACGAGTGCTTTAGTTACCATGTTTTTAAATATGTCGTCTTCTGATATGATTTAGGCCCGCCCCAGGAGAACATGGCAAACCCTAAAGAGAAAACTCCAATGTGTTTGGTGAATGAGTTAGCCCGTTTCAACAGGATCCAACCACAGTACAAGCTCCTCAATGAGAGAGGCCCTGCACACGCTAAGGTAAAAAAAAGTTTTTCAGATGTAGCGTTATCATGTCAATATGGAATAATATTTAATAAATCTCAGGAGGCAGTTCAGTGTAATTCTTGTTTTGACACACATCCACATGTGCTAAATAAATAAAGCATTTGCGCTTTTTGTAATTAGTAATTAGTTATTGGCTGTGCTGAGAGCACCGAACTCCTGCCAAAAGTTCTGTAACAAGGATATTGATAAAAATGTTGGGTAATGTCTTCCTCTCTGGGTGTCACTTCCAGATCTTCACCGTGCAGCTGACTCTTGGGGAGCAGGTGTGGGAGGCAGAGGGCACCAGTATTAAAAAGGCGCAACACTCCACAGCTGCCAAAGCACTGGCTGAGAGTGTCCTTCCCAGGCCAGCGCCCCGCTCCCCTAAAGCTGACATCAACAGTAACCCAGGTACTGCAGCCACAACTGAATTTCTTTTAACTGTTAAAAAAGCAAGTGGCTGGGAAGGATTACCATGAATTGCACCTTTTACTGTTTCTATGGCTATGCATGTGATAGCTGCTATAGTTTCAAGAAGAATGCTTGAACCATTTGGAAAAAGCTGCAAAACAAGTTGATGCTTGGTTATAATCTGCTAAACTCTTAAAAATGGAGGTGTCTTTTTTTTACAGGAAACATAGACAGCACTCTATTCATATATTATTAGGTATTAAATTAATGATTAACACTGTATGTCTTATAGAAGAACTTAAATGTTAAGTTGGGCTGTGGCTCAGCTGTAGCAGCAGAAAGAAGATATTGCCTTTAGATCCAGGGAGAATGAGGCCGCCAAGAAGGAGGTACTTTTACTCCCTGTTCATTAACTAAGAGTGTCAAGATTTCTCAAATCTTTGAGGGCAACAAAGCAGGTTTTCATCCTCCAAAAGTTTTACAGTATTTTTTAACCTTGTTGTAAGGAGGAATTTTTCTCAAGCTAAGCTTGTTTCTTTGGTCCACTGTTATCCTAAAGCACAATTCGGGCCTATCTTAAAGTTAGTTGCTAGCACTATGTCTAACATTTAAAAGCTTAACCTCTTCATTGGTACTGTTTGAAGTTGGAATCATAGACCAGCAAATATTAAAGCTATACATTCTTTTTTTTTTTGCTTCTTACTTACTTCTTAGGATTATTGAGAGGCTGGAGCGTATCTGGGCTGTTGAAAGGTGAAAGACAGAGATAGACAGTCACACACACACTTGTAACAAATTTAGAATCACCGGTTAACCAAACAAGCATGTCTTAAGACTATGGGAGGAAGCCAGAGTACCCAGAGACAACCCACGCAGGCATAGTCACTACCATGCTTCCTGGAATAGCAAATAAGCACCAATAATCAAAAAGTTAAGAGTGTAACAGAGTGAAGATCAGATAAAAGGACACATTTTTTTCATCTTTTCTTCATTGGACTTACTGGCAGTTTAAAAGGCTGTAGTGAGTTACTGACTTGTGATGCTAGTGATACATGGATAAAAAGGTTAGGGTCCACATCCTGTGGACAAGAGTATCCAATGGAATAAATGGGAAATAAACAATGGATGAACTTGATAAAGCTGCTGCAGGGTCAGGTCTTGGGATTATACACTCCACTTTACTGTCAAACTGTTAAAATACTTCAGTGGAACAGAGCCATTGTCAAGAATAGGCTCACAGTTTTTAAAGTCTGGTCACCATATGAAACATCTTGTTGTAATTGTTCCATCTATCTTTACTGGTCATGGTAAAATCACTTCCTAGTTTCCACGTAGGAGATGAAAGACAAAATCTACAGTCATCTGTCTGTGCAAACATAAATTTTGCAGTTCATCTGACATAATATTAGACTCCAGCAGTTTACCCTAGATATTTGCAGACACGAATCAATCCTGTGCTTTTTTTTTATGGCAGTTTGCTGTGAACAAGATCTAAAATTACGACAGCACTGTGAACATTTTTCAGTTTTTTAACCTGTTTACCAGAAGCAGTTTCATTTTCTTGCAGATGGTTAAAACCAAGTTTGTGCTGTTCATTTCTGTGTGCACACATCTGCAGGAATTTATAGTTAGCATTAAAGCCCATGCATTTACACTTCTAGTAGCTCGCCTTGTCTCATCCTCCTAAAATTGGAAACAATGTTTAGATTTTTTTAATTGAAACTCACTAATGTTCATTCATTTTAAAGTCTGGTGTTAAAATAAAAGTATGGATTGGATGTTAGCACACTGGATAGAGCTAAAAAGTCCATTTACAGAGGAAGTTAATTTATACCTGTCTGTACAATCATGAATTTAAAGTGCAATGCATTTATGTACTTAGGGGGCATTTTGGTTTTTCATCTGAGTGACTTTTCTTCCCAGCATTGCTGCCAAGCAACTGGGAATATTCAGATAATTGATGTTCAAGGAAACAACAAAAAACAGTATAAAGTGTCTCAGTAAAACCTAGGAACAGGCTTACAGTTTATCACTAGCCAAATTAATACCACTAGTCTGGACTTACCTCCCTTGCCCTCTGCGACTTTGTAGTGGTAAAAGGCCTCAAAGCCAGGCTTTTAATGGGATTAAGAAAGTCCAAAAAAATCCTGTGATAAATTATGCAACATCACTGAGAAGTGGTGGTATTAGTGGTGCATGCATCCTGGGGGTACTTTTTACTTAGAATGCAGTTTCAGGTGGCAAATGTTAGGCTGCACAGTGCAGCTTTCTGCCTGTGTGCCTTTTCTAGAAAATATTTTGTTTCCATCTTTTTAGACTGCTTGGACCATTTTAAGCCATTTTGTTTGCTGCTGCCAGAAAAAGAAGTTCACATCAGTGTTTTTAAAAACCTCCCTGTCTTGGTTTTAATCTTTTCCGTGCTTGCATCTGCAATCTCACTCACACAGGCAGTATAACACCCACAGTCGAGCTGAATGGTCTGGCCATGAAGAGAGGGGAGCCGGCTATCTACAGGCCTTTGGATCCCAAGCCGATGCCCAACTACAGAGCCAATTACAACTTCAGAGGGATGTTTAACCAAAGGTGAGCTCCCAAAAATGAATGATTTGATTGGCTCAGCTGTTATTCATTTTAGTTTCAAAGTTACTTGCTGATTGGTTTATTGTTCAACCTTTAAGGGTGGGGGAAAATTATTCATGACAAGATGAGCTTCTTTTTTTTTAAGTAAAGTCTTTTATACTCACCTTTCGACCTGGAACCCCAACCAAAGTTAGATTTAGGTTTTCTTTGTTTTACCATCACTGCTGCATTGTTTGTAACAACAGCACATGCTTGCTGATTCTAATGCAACAGCTTTTGCTTTATCCAACCACCAAGATTAGCATTTCTCTTTGTTGTGGGTGTCGATAATCTGCGGTAATATACAAAGGAAGAGAGGGTCTTTGACATTCATCTGACTTGGTGTGGACATGGTCTTGATAAATTTTAGATGATGTTTCTTTGATCCCAACTGGCTTAAATGTGTGTCAGGCATGGCTCTCCGCTCCATATGTTTTCTAAACTGATGAACGTGGTGCCCTCATGGGTTCCCTGTGCACTCTGTCTCTGTCAACTTTCTTTCGTTGTTTTTTCTGTGCTGGAGCCACCCGACCATTTCCTAAACTCTGTAAAAGTGCCACAGAGGTGCAATTAATGATCTCCTCTCCCCCAGGAGAGAAATGCTATGTAGATCTGTGAATTTGCTGAGCTAATCCAGGTATACCCTGTTACTCCCAGTTAGGAAAACAATGGGCAATCTGTTTTCTGTTTTGGACAGTGCACAAATAGTTTGTTTGGCTTTTAGTTTTATCCCACAAGCGTATCTTCACAATTTTACTCAACTGTCAGCTTAGGATAAACATTACATTTAGTTATATTAATTAGTCTCCTAAATGCTATATTATTTTAAATACTGACATAGTTTGTGATTAAAACTTAACAGAAGTTGAGTTATGCGGCTCCAAAAAGTGCACTGTTCCTAATAAAGTTAGTATTCATCTAGGATTGTTTGACATACTTGGTGTTATTTTCAGGACACATTATAATCCCCTCAAGGTGGCAGTGTTTCCTCATGTAAAGTCCCATAACACTTCTTTCTAGGTGCCTAGTGAAGGCCTTAGATCCCATTTTCTAACCTGCAAGTTAGGAATGTGGTGAATTTATGAAAGCTTTTCTGTGTGTATGGGTTCAGTGTTGTAATCATAAGGATTTTAAATTAACATCTTCAATATTAAAGCACTAAGCAAAGTGAAATGTCATGAAGAAGAGATTTCTTTCCCATCTATATTTTTGTTCATTAATGTTATCAGGTGCAGCATTCTGCCATCAGTTCTGCTGAGCGCAGTTTATTTTTTAAAAGGTGTCAGTCAATCAGTTGCACTGTTGGGTAACAGAGTGTAGTCAGGAGACAGTCTAGCATCTGGCTCACATCTTCTACTATTTGATCCATGCAGGAGCAAACAGGGGTGAAAGATAAATGGGGTAGAGGAGAAAATCTGTTTTCCAGCATCTGTCTGTCAATGTCATATGTCACAGTGAGGAGACAGGCAGTATCTATTCCTCATGGCCTGTTTTGTTTTCTTATGGCACTGTGTAAAGGAAGCAGAAAGGGGGTTGGAGGACGTGTGTGTCTCAAACAGAAGTGACATAAGAAAGACATTTATTATTCCAAGGTCATTATGTTTCCATGAGGTCTCTTTCTTTCAGTGTAGTCAAGCCCCGATTAATGATAGTAAGACCTTCTGAATATGAATTCTCTTACTTAGATGACTAACTATGTGGCAGAGTGACAGGCCATATCCACAATCGGTCACCTTAATGATGGTGCAGGGAAACGAAGGTTTCCTCATGCCCATGCCCTTACCTATTATGATGAATAAGAGTGATCCAAAGTCATGTTGATGGAAAATCTGACCATTAAAAGGGCAGTCTGGCTATGATCTATCAGCGCGCTAATCACCGCCCAGACCAGTATTGATTCATTCAGAAAGTGCCCTGATGAGAAAATACAGCGATAATATGAAATGTACATTTATCAGAGTCTTAATGAATCTTATTTATGGCGAAGGACTTATGCATAATTCTTTCCCAACCAAGTCCATCTTTAAATCAGTGATTCATCTCTGCTATCATCCAGACGTGACCACACCATTGAACAACAGTGATCAGCTCACTCAGTCAGTTACTGAGCTGCTATGAAACATGTGTGGAAATTTAGCCTGAGTGATTATGAAAAAAAATGATCACAGAATCGGAAAATATTTGTGTTATCATGAAATCTGGTTACATCAACCGTTTTCACGGACAACCCCTGTGTTATCATTGGAACACCTGATTCCAATGAGTCATACTGCGCTCCTCCAGTTTATCCACGACGCTCCCAGCTTTCCTCCTGCTGCTCTGATCTCAGGGGGGCGGGGCGCCTGCATCCTGCATTCTGTCAGAGTTGGAATTTGGATAGGACTTTCCCTGTTAGAGCAAAGCTTAGCGGCCTGAAGCCGCCTACCTCCTCCCAGTCCTCATTTGGTTATGACACCAACATCATGTCTGTTGGAAGAACAGTGGGCTGAAATACTGGGGGTGCTTTGCACTGTGACATTTCCTCCTGTGATGATGTTCAGATACTACGCTGGCCATTACTGCTTTCTCTGTAGGAAACTGAGAGGAAGAGTGACTCACCTTTACTGCTGAAAATTCAGTGCCTGTTTTATATTATATTGGCCAGTCTGCTGTATGTAGGAGAATAAGTAAAGACCCAATTTGCTTTGGTTTGTAAAGCATTTTTAGATCAACTGTGAGAAACATTACTGCTTATTAAATCTCTACTTGTATTGAGAAACCCACAGATCTAGCTCATTGGATGGATGTAGTGGTTCGATGTCATTGCTCCTACTGACCTTGGTTCCAGTCACAGCAGGCACTTGTTTTCAGTGGAATAACTTTGATAAATCCACTACATTTTATCCATTTTGCAGTTAGTGAGCATTGAACATAGAGCATTTAGCAGATAAAAGGGGGCTTGAAAAATACTGAGCCTACACTGAGGGTTAAATGGGATGTCTCGTGCGTTTGGTTTCAGGGTTGAGTACATGGGTGCACATCAGCAATAATTACAGGGAATGCTTTTACACATAAAGGCCTGCTTTGAATATATTGGTGGACTTATGATAAAAATAATTTGAAATAGTGTTATACAATACATAAAATTACATGAAATCAGGAAGGGCAGAATATTTATATTCACTATTAATGCCACTGGGTTATTTGTACCAGTGTCCCCCTTTGAATAGTCCCGCAGAGAGTTCACTTATAGCTCAAATACCCCAGCTAAACTAATGAGCTATTTATCAGGGCAAAACAAAAAAAGAAAAAAAAAACAATTAAGTGAAAATTCTTTACATTCATAAATCATCCAAATAATTTTTATGGTATAATAAAATCCATTTTCATTTTTAATAGGCTGCTTGCTGCTGTGTTTTGTTAGTCACTTTGATGATTAGAGAGGTTACATCTGCATGTTGTTTTTGAAACACCTCCCTGTACACAATGATGCCACTGCTAAGATGATCTGCGTGGGAGCATAAACAAAAAAGACTAACTCACGGTGAATGAAAAACTCATCCTCAGGATGGTTGCTATAAAAAGATGGTTTATTCTGTGATGCTTTGTATGACGCTAACCTCTTTCGGGTAAAAAGAGTACATCTTCGAGTGTTATTTACTGTTCTTGTTCTTTATGCTGTAAGAACAGTAAGAATGCTGTTGTTCTCACTGTTCTTGATCAGTTGTACCTCCATGTCCACAATTTATTATAAGTAGACTACAGTACTTGAACATATTTAAAATGTATGCAAAACTTTAGCTTTGGAGGTGCTCATATGGATCCTGCTGCTGTATGATGCTTAAAGGTATGTAATTAACACAGAAGAAAGACTCCTACAAACAACTGGAGGGAACAAATTTAACTTTAGGTCCTGTGAAAAATTACATTCAGGGTTTACAAATATATCAGGTATAATTTTATATTTTTTGGTCTATACACAGGCCTCAATAAATGCTGCATATTCCTCAATTGTTGAATGTCACATCATGTAAAGGGTTAATCGCCTTACAATTGTGCTCCAGACTTGGTCTGTAGCTGTATGGAAATGTCAGTGTAAAATCACTTTCATGTAAGAACTATAAGAAGAGACAGTTGCAATGGAAGGATATTTGAGTACCCTTCCCATGCCTTCAGGAAAACGGTATAACATCAAACAGCAATGACAGCAGCACAGACACAAAGGGCGCACACAGACACACAGGTGTACTTTGTCATCTACATTTCTAATTGGGGCAACCTGTCCCATTGAAAAGGCAAATCTGCCCATGAGCGCTTTTTTATATTCAACTTTTCATGTCATCTCCTCTACTGTGGAGGTATTAGATATCCTCCGAGGTTCCCTTTGCACACACAGTCATCTTTTTTTCACTCACTTTCTCCCACTCAGGTTTATTTTTCTGTAGTGCTCTCTGGCCAATTGGGCTTTGTAGTCTCAAACGGCCTAATCGGGACACTGTGTGCTCTTTTGTCCAGTAAGGCATTACAGATACAGTTTTCTTGCCCATCCAAACCCCCCAAGGTAAACTTCAGAGGAGTTACTCCTATTGCATTATTCCTTAAAAATTTTCCACATATTCGTGTGTGTCTCTAAATCATAAATTACATAAGTAGATAAATTAACATTGGCGGAAATCCAGTCTAAAGGATAACATGTCTTAATTGCACAAATGGGTGTAAACTCATAAAGCAGTGTTTTATTGAAGAGACTGGGGGTGGAGGAGTGAAATACAGATCCAACATAAACAAATGCTTGGAATGATTTGTGCTCAGCAGACTCACTGACAAAGAAGTCTGGGCTCTCCTTTCATCTCCTCTCTTCTGAGTGGATTTTCTTGTTTGTGTATCCCTGTGTGTCCTCCTCTCCTCCTTTTCTTCCTTGATGCATTGAATTTAAAAATGGAACTGAGGCCATGATGTACAAAGTAGGCTAAATCAGTGGAATC